AATAGGCAACCAAAAGTTGTATGTGTGACTAGTTGTACTCTCGTTATACTGATGTAATATGTAAGCCAGTCTTTGGACAATGGCCCACTCGTTTGAACTAATAAAGTGCCAGGGGCCTAAGTAGTTACCTCAATATTAAAAAATATATATATATATATATTAAAGCAAATAAATTTAAATAAAAATTTATACTTAAAATTAAATGGTTAAGTCATATTTGCTTTATAAAAAATTTGTGCTAGTATTATCTAAGTAACTTTGAATCTTATTCTATAAATATTAATATATATATATATATAATAATGATAACAGACAAGTTTTATTAAGAGGTTAATAAAATAACTTTTTATTTAAATCTAAGCTACAAAAAATATTTATTGAATATTTGATTAATTGTTGATCGAATATAAGCTACAAAAAATATTCATTAAATATTCAGTTATATTCAATTATATGCATTATCATATATAAATTAGTATTCAATAAATATTCATCAGATATTTGAATATTCAAATTCAACTCTTTCTGATGATCACTCAGTCCAAATTTCCTACGAAAGAAAAGTTGTTTTTTTGCTGGAGATAGGTGCTAGGGTCTAAATAGCTCTAAAAGCAGAACGGTTTTTATAGAGGTCAACTTTCTACTTTCAGAGACTTCTCTATATATTCGGCAAGCAAGCCAAAAGCGTTGGTATACAAGATAACTGGCAGAAGGTGGTGCCCTTGTATATGAAATTTGGTGAAAAGGTGGAGATAAAAAGTCCAAGCCTTCCATCGACAAAGTGAGCTACTAAGAAATACTAGAGAATAGCAAAAAGCATATTTTCCTTAAGCCGCACTCTTTTACTTTGGCCAAGTGGTTCCTACTTTACTCTTTTTCACTCTCCTGCCATTCTTACAAAATTTTTGACAAAAAGTGGGTGATTTGGCTTACCAACTCCAAAAGATCGGCATTGTTTACCTCCCAAATTCAGATGTACCCAGGAATGCAACCACGTGTTTTGTTTATCAGTAGATATGATACATGACGTAGTCTATAGATATGGGACCTCCACATGACTGGGATCGGGTCTTTGGCATAAGAGACATCTGGAGGTGGCCAGTAGTCAGATAATAAAGGTTTTATATTATAGTCGAGATATACAAACCTATTTTTCAAACTTTCATCGTCCGTGGGATTTGAACCCTAGACCTGCTACTTGGAGAGAGTGATGACTTGACCACTTCACTAAACCGCCATACCTCTCATTTGCTTTAATATATATATATTTAAAAATATATTCTAATATATAAATGTTCAATTTTAAAAATGTTATTACCAAAATTGTAGTATAAGTTTTTATATTTAATGTTTGAATCTGACAAAAACTCAATTGCACAAAAAAAGTTATTTAATACCTCTTTTATAATATTTATTTGGTATAATTTTTATCAAGTTCATTATTATTCTATTTTAAAAACAATATATGTTCAAATAACTTAGACTTCAACATCATTCTTCTAATAGTTATTATATTACTTGCATTACTGAAAAGTTGTTTGCTTGGAGTTGAAGTTGCTGGTATTGTAAGATATTGTCTTGCAAGCCTGTAAAAACAGAAAAAAGGTTTTTTGAGAATTCCACTAGTTAAAAGAGTCAGATTTATAATGGATTTCAGATAAAAAAAAGTAATTATCAATCTCATCATTTAGCTCTTTAGAAATATTTTGCATAAAAATCATCTTAAAAAATGATTTCTGATAAATTTGATGCTGCTCTTCTTGTTTGTCTTGATTTTCATAAAAGCTAAAAGATTTATCAAATGATGTTGAAGCTTTATCAAGAGATTTAATCTCGTTATACTTATTATAAAGAGTAGTTTCAGCTTGGCGTCTTTGGGTTGGTGCTGCAAACTTCAATTTTTTATATTTCAGGTCAAGAAGCCAAACAAAAAACTTATCATCATCAGATAAGTTCTAATAATATAAAAATACACTATATAGTGTGTTTTTAATCTTATGCTTCATATTTTTTATATTTGTAGGTGTATTTATATTAATCTTTTTTTTGAAGGGGCTTTTATTTTTCTCTTTCTTAGCATCAATAAATCTAATATTATCATTGAATGCTAGGTTTTCTGTTTCAAAATTTATTTCATTTAATTTATTATTATTATTATAATTTGTAAAACTAGTTAAATTTCTTATTAACCCCAAAATAGATGGAAGTATATAAGAAATTGTAATATATTCAGAACTACAAAGCTCTTCTATAGTTTCAAAAAAAGGTTCTAGAATAACAACAAGCTCTCTCATTAAATCCTACTTATCGTTAGTTAATTGAATTTCTTTTAATTTCTTTGTATCTTTTTAGGCTTTTGGTGTGTTTAAAATAGTCAATATTGTTATAACAATATCAATTGCATCCTTAATTAGTAAAAGATGTTCCCAAGCTAAATAAGATGAATTTTAATGGGTTGGAATATCCATTTTTATATGAAGATATATAGAAGTTTTTCTAATTACCTATTTAAAAAAAATAATAATAATTTAATTATTTATTATTATTTTTTTTTAAAGTTAAGGAAACCTTTTTGGCCTAAAAGCTTTTATTAGCAACTAGACGAAGTTTATATGCAATTACAATAATAGTACATCAAGCCACACGTGCACTTTTAGTGCTTAATTTAAGTAGTCCACCCAAAGCGGTAGTGCTATGCTAAGGGTTTTACACTATCTGCCATATCTACATCCCAATTATGGAGTACCCATTTAAACTATCTGGTTACAACTGCCAATGACTACCCAACTAACCCCAGGCTTCCTCACTATTTATATATAGATTTTGGTATTACTCTGGCAAAGGATTACTAACTGCTTTAGGACTTACCAACTATTTCTGGCTAATCTATTCTTGAGGTAAACCTAACAGAGCGGTACATGTCTTACATATGTATTCACTTGCATGTTCTTATAACTTCTTTCTAATTAATACATATTGGCCTGCCTTTCTGTATTTGTATCTCACGCCACTTTTTGGGGTACTGCTGTTCTACAAATGTACTTTAAGTACCAACTTTCTTAACTAGGTACCCATTACATACTTCTTGCTCTTATTCGGTTCACAACAACCCGATATTCATATTCGGACCATCTCCTTACCCGGATTCTTTATCGGTCCCTCCCTTATTTCCAGCTGGCAACCTAGAAGGGTTGGTCTACTCAGACTTTAGGTGCCTGAAAGATGCCCTCCTCTTGGTTCATATTTTTGAAGCGTATGCCCTTTTCCTTCGGTGTAACAACCCGGCGGTTTGGCTAGTGTGTCCTCCGCCAGTAAACCTGGTCACTCGGTTCTCCAATCTCGAACCCTGGTTCAAATTCAGCCCTCTTGTGATATCATCAAAGATCACTGCTACCTCCAATTTCGGACTTGCCAAATGGGTTTTCAGTTATTCCGGTTTCTCGGATTTATTGTGTTAAAGCTTCTATAACTAGATGGTGTAACCAAGATTACAGATTTCTAGATCTAACCGATAATCGACAACTGTAAACCATAGCACAGACTATTTTTTAAAATTCATTGTCTATGGGATTTGAACTCTAAACCTGCCACTTGAAGAGGATGATGACTAGACCACTACACTAAGTTACTACACCTCTCAATAATTTAATTATTTATATTTATACAAAGAAATAATACTTTATTATCTGAAATTTTTAGTGTTTTCTAAGCTTCTTCGAGTTGTTCATTTTGCTTTGGTGCTATAAAGAAATTAATTAGTTATTTAGCTCTTACTACGAATGTTTATGCTAGCATTAGGCTTTTCCTGATAACAAGTTGCAAAGTATTGCATAGAATTCTTATAATATTAGCTATTCTGTTAATTGCTACTTTTATATTTGTTTTGTTATCAGTTGTGATTGAGTGTATTTTTCTTATAAGACCCCAATTAGCAATTATACTTTCTAACTTTTTTTAAGTAACATTAGCAGTATGTGGATATCTAATATAAGATAAAGAAAGTAGTATTTTATAAATTTTAAATTCAGAATCAATCTATAAACAGGTAATACCAAGATACTCTTGTCTGTTGTGACCTGTCTACAAGTCCGTGATAAGTAAGCAAGTTGTGGCAGTATTTTGTAATTTTTTTTACATATAGGGGGGAGTCAATAGAAAAGAGACAAATTGTTTTTAGTGAAATTTTTTTAATTTTTAAATTAAAATATCTTAACAACTATTTAATCAAATTTGTTAAAAAATTTTTTATTTTAATCTTGAAGTTATATAGAATTAAAATAAAAAAATTTTATTAAATTTGATAAGATAATTGTCAAGATATTTAAGCTTAAAGTCAAGAAAACTTTTACTTGGAAAAAATTTGTCCCTTTTCTATTGACTCACCCCCATATTTTGAATACACTAATTATACATTTTATAAATTGTTTACTTTACACTTCTTTTGTTAGATATATTAAACATTGAGTCTAATTCTTTTACGAACTTACAAAAAAATTGGTTTGACACAAGACTAATTAGTTAGGCACCATATATAATAAATTTAATGAGAGTTATGGTGAGCTTATTATTCTTTGATTTGCTATAATTTTTTATAAATGAGTTAATTTTAGTTTGTGTAGGCTATGTAAAATAATAAATAAAATTAAATATTAAATTTTTAATTTAATTAATCTTTAATTTAATTATTTATTAATTTAATTATTTATTACCTTGTTATTATCACTATCTGGTCCAGATAATCTAGACCTATTCAATATAATACCATAAGTGCTTAAGAGGTAGATTATTAAATTTGATGTTGAGCTACTTGAAATTTTTAATTTAAATTTACAACATTCTTTATCTAAATCATTTAATACTTGACAAATGGCATATATGACTTCAATATTAACTTTTTAATTATCAAGTCTTTAAATATTTTTTTTTTCAAAGTGTTTCCATATCCAGCTTTGTTTTTTTGAGCCACCTCTTCGACTAAGCTTAGTTTTTTTGATAGTAGAGGTTTCATTATCACTTTTTGTACTTGTGCTTCTAGCTTCTGATTCTGGATTATTTGATCTTGTAATGAGATCTACAAATAATTCAAATTTCTCCATTATATATCACTAATAGCGATTTTTGGTTAATTAATCAAGAGCTTTACTATCAGGATAAAATAAGTTAAAGTTATATTTTAAAAATAAGTACAGATTTCTTTATTAACTTCAAAATTTTTGGTTTTTATATGTTCTAAATTTTGAAAATTTTATTTATTCAAATGCATATATATATGCATATACATATAAGTTAAAATAGATTGTATGCATGAATCAAAAATAAATATAAACTCAATTTAATTTAATTTGTTTATATAATCAGTATAAATATTTTCCTTTAGGCTTTGTACAGATAAGTTCTTTATTCTATTTTTATATATATTATTCTCTATTTATAGTCTACGATTCTTTATCTTACTACTATCAATAACCTTTTCCTAGTTCCCCAAAAATTTAGTGATAACAATGATATATACTGGGGTTTATATACGGTATAAGAAATATAAAAGCCTCAATCACTTTATATAAATTAACATATTTAAAATAAGCTAAATTCAGTAGCAAAGAGATTGATTCTTCACTTTATTGAAATTATAATTTAGAAAATTTATTTCTATATAGAGAGATTGAGGCTTTTAAATTTTATAAAAACTCACTTGGGAAATTATAATACTATATTACAATTTTTGCACTGTAGCTTCCCCAATGTTGCTATAAAAAGCTTACTTGGGAAATCTTAATGCTATATTACAATTATTGATATTGTTAGAACAGCTAATTATTATGAAATTTATTTTCACTCTCATAGATATAAATAGTTTATATAAAACATTCTAGTATGATTATTAATTAATATGGAATTAGAGTGAAAAAAATTAGATATACTGTATTTATCAAAAATTTGCAAATAAGAATAATTTTGACAAGTTGGCTATTGTTATTATAACATGTTATCAGAAATCTGCTAGGAACTTATAGAATCATTATCTATTCCAAATACAGAATTGTTCTGAAGTTAGTGTTTAAATCAAAGATTAATTAATTATTATTATTTTTTTTTTTTTAATCTTCACGGGTTTTGCCATGGCTTGCTTTTTATTAAAATGTGTATAAGAACTATATACATTTA